ACTGGGATTTGAACTCTAGACCTGCCACTTGGGGGTTGACAACCTATCCACTTCACTAGGTTGCCACACCCCATAATGCTAATATTATATTTACTATTATTTTTTATTTAGATAAATAATTTAATACAAACAAGAAAAAAACTAATATGCTAAATATTTTCTGTTATAATCCTCAAGGTCAGCCCAACACTAAATAAATTTAATATTATATTTTTCAACATATTTATTAACTTCTAAAAAATATTTATTGATTAAAAATATATTTTTTTTATTCACATCTTTTAGTAAATCTATATCATTTATATAATAATAATAAAATTCTTCATCCCAACCATAAAATATGAACCTAATGTGATGCTCATACTATCCTAAAATATTATGAAGTTTTTTATATTTAGTATTATAAAAAATTCTTAATGAAGAGTTAATTAAATTTTGTTTAACAAGATATTCTCTGAATTCTTTATAACTTATAAATATAATGTAGTTACTTGTTTTAATTTCTGTAATAAATTGTTTATCTTCATCAATTTTTGGTATAGGAGCTTGAAAGTCTTCCTTATTGATAATCAATACAGATGAATAATTTAAATTATCTTGATAATATTATCCTAATAATTGTCTTCTTCAAATGTTATTTGTTTTTTGAATGTAGTTTTGATTTTTTTAATAATGTTCTTAATGAAGAAAGACATTTTGTTCAATATGTAATTTGATATAAGAAATTAATTTCATAATAAATTTTGTTTTTTTCTTTTTATTATTTTTTTCTTGTTAATCTGGAACTTAGATTCTATAAAATTTGTTATCAATTTCTTCTTTTTAATATTTCTTATTAAAGCAATTTTTGTACCAATAAAAATTTATTTATAATAAATAATTTTTAATAATAAGAAAAATTGATCATATAATAATTTGTTTATTACCAATCAAAAATAATGAAATCTTAAGGCTTGTAATTGTTTTGATGATCAATTTTTTTACAATAAAATTTCAAAAAATTTTTTAAAAAAAATGAAAAAATTTTGAAGTATCACAAAATCACTGCAATAAATTTAACTCAATTATTTTAATACTAATTAATAATAAATTAAACTTTAGTAAAATAATACATTTTATTTTATATCAGTATTACTAATCATAAAGTATATTTAATAATTTTTCTACTAATAAAAATGATAAATTATTTTTTTCTTTATTAAAAAATGACTTAACAACAATAACAATATAAACAATATCAAGAATATAAAAACATTACTTATTCTTTTTTCTCTTTATACACAAGACTTCTAATTTTAAAACATTTAATTGAAGATATAAAAATTGAATTAATGAATATAAATGACAATATATTCGAATCAAAAAGTATATATAATATTTAAAAAAGAATATAAATTCAAAGCTTTTGTTTTTTTTTCAATTAGAAATATTTCAAAATAAAATTTACAAATCATATAACATTTGATCATAATATTATTAATTGTAATGATTTTTCTGATATATATAACTTTTGTCAAAAGAATTAAAAATCTGATCAAATAATTAGATATCTAAAAACTAATAAATTCAATATTAATGAATTTAAAAATATATATCATTAATTAATACAGATCTTTATGATAACAAAATAAAATATAGTTTACAAATTGATTTTGTTGAAGAATGTTATATGCTATGTATAACTGAAATTATACAAAATTCATCAACAATGTTTGTTAAAAAATATATATTTTATAATAATTAATTTTAAAATATGTTTAGTTAAAACCAAATTAGAATATATAATTTTATATAGTTAATATTTTATTATATTATTTATTTATTATACTAAATAATTTAACTTATTCAAATTCATATTTTAATATATTATAATTGTTGTTTTAGTTTACAAATATAAATAAAAATTATAAATAATATCAAAAATTCCTTTTCACTAATGTAAATTTACAAGTATTTTTTTAAATCAAACTGTTTTATTAACTAATCTAAAATGTCATTAAACATTTTGATTGATAAATTAACCAAGAAACAAGTTAAGAAACAATTATTCAAAAAAGCCAAAAAATAATTGAGTTATTAACTAAACTATATAAAAAAAAGCAATATGAAAATTCTATCTATCATTCTCTTAAAAAATATATAAATTACTATAAAATTTTTATGAAAATTGAAATTGATGATCCAAATTTATATAAAAAGTTTATTTGAGCAATTATTTAAATATTATATTATACAAGAATTTATAAAGTTAAAAATAGAGCAAAATTTGTTAAAAATATAAAAAAATTTTATCTAAAATAGATACTTCTACAAATCCAAATGAATATGTTATAAATCTCTTAATAAAATATTCAAAATACAAATTTTTATCACATTTATATAAAGATAAAAAAAGCTTGTTGATTTCAATCGCAAAGCTTGAATGTTATTATCAAACAATAAGTTTAAAAAAAAAGAGTATGATAAACAAAACAATGAAAAAATAGTAGTAAAAAACAAATCTAAATCAAAAAACACATATATTTCTCAATAGGTAGTAAAACAATTTAACAAAAACTTAAAACTCACTAGAACACAAATAGATTATATTTAATATAGTTGCAATGCAATTAATATTAATAGTAAAGAAATGTAAGAGTTAATAATTCTTAATATAAGAGAACTTTTTGGTATCTGTAATGATTATAAAATAAAAAAAATAAATTATTTGATTGTACTTTATGAAAAAATGTGAGATAATATTAAAAATGCTAAACATCCTAATAAGTATGTTATCAAACTCACTAAATTTTATTTATTCAAAATTAATTTTCATCAATACATTTTTAGACCTAAATTAATATTTTAAGTTATTTTATTAACTGCTAATTTTTATGTAATTGTAAATCAAGAAAATTTAAAAAACAATATTTAATAAAATTTATTTATATATACATTATTTTAATTAAAAAGAATTTTGAAAATAAGTTGTATTTAGAAGCAATCACAACTTGTTGTGATTGCTTATCATAAACATTTGAGACATTCAAAATTCTTTTGTGTTTTATTTATAGACATTATAGATAAATTTATACTAGCAATTTTTTATACCAGTGATTTTATATTAATAATTTTATTATCTTTATCTCTTTATATTTATATATCCCTCTTGATTTTTTTTTTATACTTTCAAAATTTGTCACAGGAGAAAGGCGAATTTTGGATTCATTGAAACAATGAACAAAATGTGTTCAATATTTTTATAATATATTAAATATTTTTTTTAATTTGATTTAGAAAAATATAATATTAAAATTTAGCATGTTAATAAAAAATTTAATTTTTTATTAAATTTTGATTTATATAAAACAATTATATTATCAGTTGTTTTAAAAACCTCTAGAATAAAAATATGTTTCTGTATACAATATTTAAATATTAATCTTGTACTTTTATATTTTCTGTGATAAACCAAATTTCTGCTTTACAATGAACACCATCTTCAAAATTATTTTGAGCTATTTTTTTTACATGTTTAATTTAATTTTTTTTTTAGGTTTTAATATTCTACCAACACAACAACAATCAAATTTGCTTAATTAATTTGATTTACTAAATACTGTATATAATAATATTTAGAAAACAAATATTGTAAGTTTCTGAATCATTTTTATCAATATTTGAATAACCTTTTAATTTCTTGTATACTTTCTTTGTAGTTAAAAATATTTTCTTTCTATGTTTATTGTAATCTAAAGTTTCATTTTCTTCAGTGTTTTTTTGTTCGAAATTTTTGAAGCTTCTGAGTAAATTTCTTTCTATAAAATAAAAATATTAGACTTAAATAAATTTAAGTAAGCAATTTCATATTTATTACTAGCTAAACATTGAAAATGTCATCATGGCTAGTTGCTTATTTATATATTATTTATATTAAAGAATATATTTTCAATGAAATATTAATTTGCACTTACATCTTTATACAAAGTATCAAAAATTTCTTGTTTATTATTAGGAATTCTGTTATAATTTGTATAATAAAGTTTAAATGTTTTTTAATTATAACAATTTGCTTATTTAAGCAAAACATAAATCAATTTATTAAAAAATATATATAATTATTTTTTAAAACACCAATTAGAATTAGAATAACAAATCTAAATTATATAAATTCAAATATAGTAATTTTAATTTTCTAAAATCTTGGCATTTTCAAAACATTATTCGATAAACATATATATAACTTTAAAATATAATTTTTTTTGATCTGACTTAGAGATTTTTATTAAGTTAATATCTAAATAAATATAAAAATTTATCATTGGTTTATAATTTATTTTCTTTTATAAATTTGTAAATCTGAGAGTTGTTACATTTTCCAATGTTAATTTTCTTATATTTATCTATATACAAGGTCACTATAATAATAAAATGTTACTCATTTTTTTTATGCCATAGAGAGTATACAGTATATAATATCCTAGTATTAATAAATGTCTTTGTATATATTTAGATGAATGATATTTCACAATTGTAATTATGCCTCTGGTGTTTTTAGATTATTGATATAGTTTAAATTATATTCAGTTAACATGTAACAGATATAACTATTTTTTGTTTATTTTTTATAAATATTTTGAATATTAAGTAGATTGTATGAATGTATTATATATCAAATCTATTGTTTTACTTAACTAATACTTTTTATTTTTTTAGAATTTCACATAACATTTTAATTTTATATCAAGTTTACCAACTTTAAGTATTTTGCAAATATTTTTATTTTAAAGAAAAAAATAATATATAATAATTATATAAGCTTTATAATTTCTATCTGTTACTAGTCTAGCTTATTAAAATGAGTTAGATTGTTATTGCTTTAAGCATCTATTCTACTTCTTCATCAGATTTTTCATGATTTTTTACCTTAACTATAAAGTAGTAGAGCATATATAATTTCTCAAGACTAATACACAAATCTTTATCTGCATATATATTTTAATAATTTTTTAGCTTTATAGTATATACTTCTTTATTAAAAAACATCTTAATTGCAACTGTTTTAATATAGTCATTAGGATTCTTTTCAGCTTGCAGTTTCTTTAGATAGTCTTCATAGTTTTTTGCAAGATTATTATATTTTTTGTTTTTTTGCAATACAGTTTTTATGACTTTGACTTGCACAAATTTTATATCTTTATAATTAACTATTTTTTTGTATATTTCTACTATAACAATAAAAAACTTTAATTAATAAAATTTATATTCTTTAACAATTTTTTATCTGAAAAAATATTTGTTATAAAGCATTTATTTCTTAAAATAAAGTTTAGCTTTTATAGCTCTTTCTTTTGCTTCTTCAAGAGCTATTTCAGATGCTACTAGGCATTTATATATTCTAATTTGTCAATATCTATAGAGCAGAGTTTAAATTCTATTAAGTAAGATTTAGTATTTGTTATTATATAGGTTTAACCTAATTTTATTTACTCTCTTCAGACATATTTGATGATTGTAACTACAGAGATTATACATATTATGTCAGATTAGTTTCTTGTTTCTAAGACATTTTAGAAACTTATCATATTTAAGTTCTTATTTAACTATGCATTTTTTTTTAAAAAAAAAACTCTTTTTGCTGATTATTTAAACACAAAATTGACCAAAAGAGAAACCCAATATTATGCAAAAGTGGCCTTCTAAACTACTTTGGCTGAACTAAGTAAAAAAAAGAGCATTCAAGAAAGCTATAAAAAAGAAAAGAAGTAGACAAACACAAGAAATACAATACAGAAAAGGCAAAGAAAACTAAAAATTCTCAATAAAAACACTTGAAAATTTGAAAATTTGAAAATTTGTTTTGTTTTAGGGAATTGGCACTAATCTAGTATTGCAAATCTGTTTTGATTACAAGAACATAAACAAACAAGCAATTCAATCATATGTGAAACAAGTAGAACAAATTATACCTAATTTAGATAGAAAATATGAATATAACCAAAAGACAAAGTAGCAGTCTAATAATAATATATATTAATAGAGCATACTGGGCTATCAATAGTATGCAAAATAGTGTGTTTATTAAACAAGTAGATGAAACATATGTTTTGCCTAGCAGAAAAAATAAAATTGTTGCTATGTTGACAAATCAGAATTTAGAAGAAGTTGCTTTATTAAGATTAACAGAGAATTAATAGATAAAGCAGAGAAAGAGCAACTGAAAAGAAAATTAAGCATAGTAAAGCAAAGCAATTATGCAATGATAGTAGAACCTACTCCAGAACAAGGTCAAGACAGACTTAAGAAAAAATGTTATCAAATTACAAAAACAGAAAAGACACAAAAGATTGAACAAAACCAAACACCAAAAAATAAACCAGAAGAAAAGAATTAATATGAAGTAAAGGCCCAAGAAATTGACAAAATAATATAGTAAAAAGAGACAGCAAAGATAAGTATCAGTAATAATAGCAAAATAGAAATAGGACAAATCCAACAAAAGCAAGAAAATTCATCTAGTCAAAAAAAAAATACAGAAAAACAAAAAAAGAAGCAAGAACAAAAAAACATCGAACTAGAATTTGAAGAAAGTATATGGGCTGCAAGCAAGAGAAATTGTAATCAGAAAAACAGCTTACTTGCAAATATATTAGCATACAATGTATTAGGAAAAACAAAAGAAGAATACATAAAATTTATTAGATGGTTTTTGAGAAATAACATATATGTCAAAGATGTTAAAGAAGTTTTTAAAAGGAAAAACCTATGGGTAGAAGTTGACTTTGATTACGAGTATGTCAGAAATGAAGCAATATAAAGAATTAGCAAAAAAAAGAGCACTTGGTATAGAATGATATCAAAAAAAAAAAAAAAAAAGATACTATAAAGAAACAGATGCAACATAAGAAGAAAAATTAAAAAAGAAATAGCAGCAAACTAAGATTCAAAGAAGAAGAACTCAAATAGAAAGAAAATAAAATAAAGACAAATAAAAACCAATATGAAACAAATAAAAAATCAGAAAATATAAGTTTTCTTACAATTTGGGACTTACTTGCAGATATAAACAAAAGAGAACTAGAATACATCTGCAGAAAATTTAAAAAAGCCTATATAGTAAGAATTAAGAAATTCAAGTATAAAGCCTTAGCTGTAATCAAGATAGAGAAAACATATAATGATATTCCATAGGCTATACCAGTAAACAATAATAAACTAGTATGAGTAACCAAATAATAAAAAACTATAAAGCAAAGAAAGAACAAAGGAAATATATAGCAAAACTAATAAAATTATCAGAAAGTGCCTTAGAAGTCCTACTATCATGAAGTCTAAAGAACAAAGAAGTTAAATTGGTTTACATCCCATTAAATAGAAATGAAAACCAAAAAAGATTAGCAATAGTTATGTTCATAACAGAAAAGAACATGAGAGCTGTTCAAACAAAACTGATTATATATAACAACTTTCGAGTTTATTAAATAAATGAAGAGAAGAGAGAAACAAGAAAAAGAGAAAGTCTTGAAATAGTAAGAGGAAGAAGTTATGACAGACACAGCCAGACTTCATATACAGAAGAGAATAGAAGCAGTAAAAAAAGACAAAGAAATAGAGTCTATACAAAAAAGTATAAAAATAAAAATAGCGTAAATTAGAAAAATATAGTACCAAACAAGGAAAGCAAGTCTCAAAACTGAAATAAAGAAAACTAAACAAAAGATACAAAAATGAAAGAAGAAGAAGTAGAAGACTGTGAAGAGAAATCAGAAGAATTCAAGATGCATAAACAAGAAGAAAAACTACATATAGAGAACTTCTTAGAACAAATTTGGAAGAGATTAAAAAGACTAAAAGAGACAAGAGGTACAGCTAGAGAGGGCCTAGCCAATCACTTCTGAGGGCACTCTAGTTGAACTTGTAAATATGGATAAAAAGATTAGAGATTTTCTGCATGGTGAGAGAAGGACTTTTAAAAAAAGAAATAAAGAGAAATTTCCTAATCCAAAAGAAGTAAAGAGAAGAAAAGAAAAAAAAAAGCAGAAAACACAGAAATAAGATACAAGTAGCTAAAAAAGAAATAAAAAAAAAGGAAAAAAAGAAATAAAAATTGCATGTCACAATGCTAACAGACTCAAGACCAAAGATTGGAAATTAGAAAACCTGCTAGGCTAAGCAGAAGAAGAAGAAATAGCATTTTTGAGAATTACAGAAATAAATATTACAGAAAAAGAAGAGAAAATCTTGATGCATAATCTTAATACAAGATTTAAAAGTTATTGGACAAGTGCAGTACCAAACAAGAAAAAAGGATTAAACATTGGAATTTTAATAGATAAAACATGAGAGAAACATATTAAAGCAATTAAAAGATCCAGTAAATATATGATAAAAGTAAAGTTATACTTCAAACAACTAGTACTAATAGTGATAGGAGTGTACATTTTACTAAATAATAAGGCAACTAGTAAGAAGATATAGCAAAAAATTGTGAAAATAGTAACAAACAAGAAGAAGCATACAGAAGTAATTATACTTGGAAATTTTAATTATACTGTTAACAATATACTAAACAGACTGCATCTACAAACAACAGAATATAAAAAACTGCCAGTTTTTAATTGGCTCAAAAAACAGGACTTTATAAACTCTTTTAGAAACCTGCATCTAACAGAGAGAGCATATATATGATCAAATCAAGAAGTAGCAACAAGAATTGACTAAATCTGATTGTTAAAAACAATTGTGGCTAGCTTTCAAGAAGCCAATATAAAAGAAGCAGAAGACATAACAGGTAGTGACCATAGAATATTAACAACAGTTATATAATTAGAATATATAATTACAAACTAAAGTTGTACAGAAACCAAATGCAAAGACCAAATAAGAACAATATATCTGTATGTAGAAGCAAAGCAAGAAGACTGGGAAGAATATGCCAAAGAGCTTCAAGTACAATCAGAGTGAAAAAAGATGCTAAAACAATTAGAAGAAGACAAAGAAGTTAACATGTACAGTACAGATATATTAGATCATATATGGGAAGCAATAAAAAAAGCTATAACAGAAGCAGCAAATAAGCAAATTCCAAAAAGAAGATATTTAACACAAAAGCAAACAAAAGATGTTATCAGAAGAAGCCACAACAGGATAAAAACATAATTGAACTTCAACAAATAATTAAAAAGGCAAAAACAAAAAGAAACCAAAAGACAAAAAAGAAGAAAAGAAAAGATAAACAACAAACTTAAAAATATTAACAAGAATAAGGGTAGCATTACCAAAGCTATACAAATAATGATCAAAAGCTTGGATAGATGACAGAAAAGGCTAGCAAAAAATTTTTAAAAATAAAAGAAAAGAAAAGTAGAAATGAGCTCAAAGAAAACTGATAGAGGAAAATATAAATAGAAGATGTAAGATAATTAAAACTAACCAAAAGTAAATGATTGCTAGTCTACTGAATAAATTATACAAGAAGATAATTTTGAACAGATATATAACCCAAAGTGAAGATGAGATTAGTTTAATAACAGAACCTAAAGCTGTCTTAAATGGTTTGGCAAAGCATTTAAAAATCAATTTAGAAAACAAAGAACTAAACTAAAGAAGATATCAGAAGAATAGATAAAAGTATACAACTCAAAAAAGTAGATTAAGGAGTTTTGGTATAAAAAATTAGAAGAAAAAATAGAAGAAAAAGAATAGAAAAACATACTAAGAGAACTCAAAGCCAATACAGCTCTAGAAATTTCAGGCATAAGTTATATATTAATAAAACAAGCAGAGAAGTATTTACAGAAAATTTTCAGAGCCTTCACAAATCTAGTTTTAAAAATAGAAGAAATGCCAAAAAGGTGAAAAATAGCACAAATTTATCCAATTCCAAAAGATATTGACTAGAAATATAACTTAAACTTCAATAAAACAAATTATTACTAAAATTAATCTTTGAACTATTTAATGGATTAAATATTATACCTCTCTCTCATATATTATTACTCAAACCCAAATTTAGATGAGCTTTGGCCACTCTTGTAGGTTTAGATTGCAGATAAAATGTCTGAGTCTTTATTCTTCATATGTAATTTAAAAGCAAGCTTTTCTTTATAAAAACTTCAATTGAATTTCAATAAAATTAAAAACATGGCCTCATCATTAATATTTTTAAAAAAAAATATATAACTTGAACAATATTAGACCAATAGCATTAATTGAGACTTTTAGAAAGTTAGTTATGAAGGTGATAACAAGAAGGCTGACCAAGATATTTACAGAAAGAAAAATACTCAAAGGGCCAAACTATGCAAATTTGCCTGGCAACTCAACAGAGCAACCAATATATATACTAAACATGATAATAGAAAAAGCACAAGAGAAGAATAAGGAAATATAGATACTTTTACAAGATATGAAGAAAGCATTTAACTCAGTCACATTAAAAAGCTTACAGTAGACTCTTAGAAAAGTCAAAATACTACAAAGAACAACAAAATATATCATTAA